CAGTTGAATTGATGAAATGGTAATTTAATGCTAATTTTAAAGGTGATATGTACGATTCGGGTTCAGGTGTCAACCATGATGGTGATTATTATCGTTCATCATCCTATCGTCGTGGTAGTCAACAGAGTGGTGGTCCATTTGTGGAATTTCCACCAACATTACCTCGTGATCATGATGCACCAATACCTCCACCACATCGTACCAGAGCACCATCTGATGACTTTTACAGGCCAATCATTAAAAGTCGAAGTTATGCAGATTGGGATGAAGGACGTGGCTTTTCACAATCTATCAAACGGTTAGCTAAACAATTGTTAACAGTGAAATTGAATTTAAATTTCGAAATTTTTCCCTATATAATGTATAGAGTTGATAGATATTTTGTCATAATGAAGATATTAATTTAGTCGTAATGAAGATATGGCTCGATTGGAAAATGAATTTCGTGATTCGCTATTAATGCCATTACCAAATATGTCGAATAATAGTGGCAATATGTATGAACGTGATCATCGTCATGAGCAAATACCCGGTGGTTATGAGACTTATGATCGAGAAGTTAAGAGTAGTAGTGGTCGACGCATCAATAAAGATGGAAATCCCACGGAGTATAAGTGAGTTTTTTTTTTTCCTTTAAGAATAATTAATTTTTAAACTTTGAATATCTTTAGAAGTAATAGAGGTAATAATCTTTATAAGAAAAAAAAGAGAAATAGTAATTTAATCAAAGTTATCCTTCAATTCATTTAATTCTTTAGAGTTATGTAATTTTAATGAAAAAAAAAAGAAAGAAAATTTTCTTTATTAATAAAATTCTCTCCATTTTTTATCCTTTAAGAGTTCCATTTAATCAGAATTTTTTAGAAAATGCACGTAATCAGAATTCTTTAAAAGTTTCATATGATCAGAATTCTTTAAGAGTTCCACTTAATCAGGTATCGATAGAAATAAATATTTTAAATGATGCCTACTTGTTTGTGTGTGTTTTTTTTGCAGGGAACAATCACAAGAATGTAGTTATAAACGCGAAACAGAATCAGATCGTAGACGTTAAAATTCGATAAAATATTTCGTATTATTATTTTTTAGAATCTTTTTTTCTGCAGTGCCAATTTTGTTTTTTTTTTTTTCTCCCGAGAATTTTTTTTTTTGTAAGCTCAAATATTATATAATTTACAAGTAGAAAAAAAAAATGCAAGCTCAAGAAAAAATATATATTAGTTCTGTATTTTATTTTGTGTGTGTATGTGTGTGTATGTGTGCATGTGTGTATGTGTATGTTATATCATTTGTGATGAATTTCTAGAATATTTTGTAAAATTATGAAAACAACGACAAAAAAAAAATTATTTCAAAATATATTTTGAAATTTGATCTATTTCTTTTCATCGTATATTAATTTTATAGTTGTAGAATTAGAAATGCGGAAATTTCCTTTTATGATTTGAAATGTAAAATTTTCACGTTTCCCTCTCATACATTTCTGTGGAATCGGAAATGAAAATATCAAAATTCATTTAATGATTTTGTACAAAACTCCCCCCTCCATCCATTCTTCTTTCTATGGCACTTATGAATTTTTCTCGTATTATTCAAAACATTATCACAAATAACAATTCTTGAAATTTAAGACACCCATTATGCCATATGTTTAAATTATGACACATTTTTGGTTTATTGCCATTTTCGGAATTTTTTTAAAAATTTGCTTTTTTGATTGTCATAATTTCTACCATAATATAATCCATCGTAATTACTAAAATCATTAAAAAATTTTCCGTAGATATACCGCTCTATGTAAGATTAGTACCGCATTTGTTTTTCTTCCATATCTATTATTTCTTCATTTATTTTTTAATCAATATTTTATTTTGTTTTTTTTTTTGCCACATTTTATATTAAAGTAATATATTTCTTTTTAATCTTCCATTTTCATTCTGCATTATAACTTCCAATTTTTTGCATGCCAACTTTTCTTATAAAGATTTTTCATATATCTTTTTTTTCTTTTTTTGCCTCATTACGCGGAACGACAAAATTTAGCATTGTTCTCTAATTACCGAATAGCCTATATAAATTTGCTCCTTAATTAGTATTGCAAGATTTATTCTCACTTATTATTTTTGCATGAAAAAATTTATTTGAAATAAATATTTATGCTGAATGATGGTTCATCTTACATTAAAACTTTACATTTTTTCCCTCCACTTTTTATCGAAAATACTTAGCCAAATGAAAGATTTTAGGCTCCATAGGTCAAATTTGTGGATGATTTTCAAAATGTCCCCAATCCTCTCGCGATGTTTTATCTCGAGAGTAACTTAAGAAGCTGGAACTCGTAATAATCTCATTGTCAAAGACCACGTTACATCAAGTGATATGCGATGACGCAACAGTAACCTTTAACTTTTATGATCAAAAAATAAAGTTTGTAGTAATGAACTTATTTTATTCAGTTCAATGAAGAAAAATTGCTACACAATGATGATTGCTGAGTTTTAATGAATGCAATAAGCAATTTTAAAATAGGAAAGAATACTTAATACAACATCTTGAAAAAAATTAAAGGATTTTTAAACTCTTAAGAAAATTCAAGCACTATCTTGACATGATTTACGGTTAATTTCAGGATTAAAGATTTAATTGACTAAAGTAAACAAAACAACAAAGAACATTTCAAGAATAAATGAAATTATAAATAAGAATTTTTAGTTTCAAATATAACAATGTTAAAAGTTATAGTCAGCGTATATACAAACGAGCAAGTAAAAAAGTATGAAAAAATAAAAACACACCGGTAATTTAAAAAAAAAAAAACTACCTTTGCAGCGCTTTTAATTGGCAGTGAAAATATCAAGCATGGTACCTTTACTATTTCAGGTTACTAAAGAATGAATTTCCATCTCTAAAATTGTTAAAATCATTTTCATGAAATGTTCACCCATTTATAAGGATCGATAATGAAATTTTACCATAGGGATGATAATTGATAACTGATAAGAATACTGTTCAAAAGATGACAAAGTCGTAAATTTCCCTCTATCGATTTCTTTTTATATGCTTTTAATTGAATGATAAATTATATGTGAACATTTTACAAAAATAAGCACATTAACATAGTAAAAAAAACAACAAATGAAAATTGAAAATAATTCTCGACATAACTGAGAAAGGAAATTGGAAATGGTTCTGAAAATTTTCAAGTCAGTAAACAAAATTTTGCAGCTCTAATTTCCTTCTTAATTGTTTATTTTAATAATTTCACATTAAATTTTGCATAAAATAGTTAGAAATTACAAAAAAGATGGCTGATACTTTATGAATAGTAAACAAAAATATTTAACGAATTATTATTAAATAAAAATATTTAACAAATTATTATAATCGTTACCCTTTCATTGTTAGTTTCTTTTCTTTGCAAAAAAGAAAAATGAAGAAAGTACGAAAAGAAAAGTTAAAATAGAGAAATAAATTTTCCTCTACTTGAATAAAAAATTTTTTATGTGGAAAAAAAAGAAAAAAATGATACATCACGTATGATAAAACAAAAAACACGCACGTGAAAACTATCAATACCACAGCTTATGATATAGGAAAATACAAATAAAGTACATTTGGAAATTTTTAATTGAAAAATTGGCGATGATATTTAATCACAATGCTGGAAAGGATTGGAATAAGTTAAAGTTGTTGTCCAATTTTTTGCAATCTCCTTGCCATTGCTATTTCCAGTTCCGAATGTAAAGCTTCAGCATCCGTCTGAAAGATTAAAATTCGTTCATAGCTAAAATGCAAAAACCAGTTTTTATGGTTGGAAAATTTTCAGTAGGAAATTTTAATCCAGAGCTAAAGAGCTAGCAATATTTTAGTGATATATAAACTTCAAAATTTCAATATTTTCTAAAATTTAAACATCACTTCACAAAGATATAACTCGAGATGTTACCATTTATCATTTCATATTCTGTGTGCCATAATTTCAAATAATGGAGAGTTATAAATGAAATATTCGAATGGATTAATCTTGCATATTATTTTCCTATTATTTAAATTTTTAAAGGTGAAAAGAAAAATTAGCTCATGATGATGATAAAGAATAAAATACCGATTGAAGTTTAGTGGTATCTGAACGTTTAGGTGGTGGTGGTGGTGGTACCTTTTTGGGTAGTGAGGTCAATGATGTTTGAGGAGCTAACTGATGATGATGATGACCCATTGTTATACCGTTCTGTAAATATTGACATAATTACCTCTTCTTATGAGAGCAACAATAATGAAAACACCTATCTAATCCTACAAATTATACATTTCTGATTGTAAATGAGAATTTTTGATGAATTATTTTTAATTCAATCAGCTAAGTTAAGGGAAGAAAGAAAGAAAGAGAGAGAGAGAGAGAGAGAGATCCCTTTTGTAAGCTACTCAAAGTTTTTAAGAAAGCATAAAATATAGGGAATTAATCGCCCACTAATAAATAGTAAAATTGCGCTAATGATCATTCTCAGACAAAAAAAAAAAAATCTTTGTTTTAACTTAAATTTAATTCAAAATTGAACAAGAAAAGTGAAAGTGATGGGAAAAGAATACTTCAATGCCAATCATTTGATTGCTATTTCGTCCATTTTGTATCACAAATTGTGGTTTTGCTGGTGGTACCGGTGCTATAACGGGTTTCACGTTTGCTACATAGTTACCATTGCTATTAGCATAAGCTGCTGAAATTCCATTATGGTATCGTGTGGTAGCCAGATGACTGGTACTTGGTTGTTGCTGTTGAGGAAAGGTCATTCTTGAGGTCGATGTCACTACCGGAAGAGGAGTATCGTCTTCATTACTATGTACATCTAAAAAAGAAATGCTAAAAATTAAATTATGCATGGGAGAGTGATATGAAACGACTGTTAATATTTTTTAAATAAAACTCAATTTTTTCTTTTATCGTTTATTTGAATGAAAATACAATGATCGCTTAGAAGCAATTTGATAAGTTAGACAAAAATGAAAGTTTGCGAAAATTATTACCATCATAATATGCGAATAATAATAAATCTTTAGATGCTAAATTAAATATAGTATAGATATTAATTTGAAAAAAAGAAATTTCAAATTCTGAATGCTTACTGTCTCGAGAATCTTCTCCATGCAAAATGGTAGTAGCTACAACTGGTGGAGGTGGTGGAAATTGCTCCTCATCACTATCACTCTCGGCGGTACCACCGCTACGACCACTCGGTGAAGCGACACCATCATTAGAACTTCGATGATCAGTTATCGTTGATGATTGTCTATTATTGAGCATTATATCGCATGGTGCTCGTTTTATGGTACCCGTTATGATATCATCACACTGAAAATTAGCTTATATAAATTCCATTCTGAAATAATAATTAAAATTAGCGGTTAGTAATATGTGAAAGTATTGTACCTGATCAAAAATGATACTATTTTGATGAGATGAAAGATTGCTATCATTACTGATTGCAGTTGATAGCTTTGATGAAATAGGAGTTCGTAAATCACGATTCAAATTTAGCACAGTTGATTGATCTTGTTGTTGACATTGTCGTATGTTGGATTTTCGCATTTCAACGAATGATACACGATTGCAATCAACAGATGAAATTTGTGGAATGCCAACTTTTACAGGTTGAATTACTCCATTTGATTCTGTTTGTTGTTGTTGTTGTTGTTGTTTCTTCATCTCTATGTAATTCTCGTATAAATTTTGACCATTCTAAAAGAGATAAAATAATTTGATGAATGAGAAAAGAAATTGATGGTACAATTGCCAATAATATTTGGAATGTAAATAAATTCTCTCTGTGAATTCACAATTATTTCTCATTTCAAAATTATTCATTTCAACCATTCTTTTTTTTTCAAATATCAGGAAAATAAACAATAACAACAACAAAAAAGGAATTCTAGGATGTTAAGATGAAATGAAACGAAGACAAAAAGTGGATGAAAAACAAAAGATAATATGGATAGTTGGAGAAAAATGATAAATGACCTTTGCAATCCTTAAAGCTACCATCCATTTGTGAAATGTCAACGCATCTTCGGTACAAACATATTTGATGTATTTTGATGCTTTCACTTGAATTTTTGGATGCTAAAATTGTAGAAAATAGCTAAAATCATTAATGCTATCAATTTAGTAACAGCAAATTTAAGCGAATTAATTTTATAAATGAAATAAAAAGTTTTTTTTAAAGTAACAAACGTTAAGCAAACACATTTTTTTTTTCTGAAGAATTAATAATTACACAGAAATATCTCATCCCAATCAGAAAATTCGTTCATGAACAAAGGAAAAACTGAATACAAGAAATTTGATTAAACAAATAATCTAAGCTGAAATAATCAGCTAAAAATTTTACTATAATAAATGAAAAAAATCAATTTATTTTTACAGCTAAATCTTTTTATTAGTAAAAATTTCAAACTTATTTAGTACAATTAAAATTAAATTTATTAATTTTAAATGATATGAAATAATTTCAATACTTTGATTGCGAAACCATAACTGGACGGTGCTTTATATTTCTTCTTCCAATCGATAGCCGTATATACTTGATTAGTTTGCATATTCATTAAACATTGTAAATCCTTCGAATTACGACTTTTACCCTTTGGACAGTAATAGAGACCGGATAAACGGAGCACGAAAAAATGTTTCTTCCATGATTTCTTACCGTCTGATTTTAAAAACAACCAACCTTCTGTTTCCGGTGGTTGTACATTATCTCCATCAAAAAATTCCTGAAATATCGTATGCTATAAGAAGCAAATTATCCTGTTCAAGATTTTTTTTTTTTTTATTGACCATTCTTCTTAGTTTTACTATCAGTAGAATCATTAATTTTGTAAATAAATTTATCTATTATTTAATATTTTTTAAGTTCCAAGCTAAAAAAAAAAAAACTTTTTCAAAATTAATGAATAATATTGCTCAAAATCATTTCAATCATTTCAATTAAATATCAGCATTAATATCAAATCTATTCTTTGCAAAATAATGTCGACAAATTTCATGCTAATAAGATAATATGCATGACTAAAATCTTTTACTCCAATCATCGGTATACAATTATTAATAGTTAGGGACGGCTAATTTACTATCAAATGCAGAAAATATCATTTTTAACGTGACTATTCTCTATCGGCATTCGATGTTGCTTTATGATGTTTAGAAATTGCAGTACTAATTGAGATGCCTATGTTTTGTACATTTATAGTTCCAAAAATACACCTAAATTATATCTATAATGAATGATACAGTTGGCGCAGTTGTACCTAATTAATCGATCAAAGTGCGCAAAAGTCACTTCTCAATTCATCTTATCTTTTCATATTTTGTTTTCTCTTCAAATAAACCACTGCTACGCTTAAAAAAAAAAAAAAGAAACTTACCCGAATAACATGTCGTTTTGTATTCGGTGATAGTGGACCATGTACCAATGTATCGATATTTTTCTGAGTTATGAGAAATTCTTCCGGTCGATCCAGAAATGAATATTTATCCAAACGTCGTGTAAAATATAATTTATTTTGAGAATTCAACGTCCACATCATAATATTTTCCACTAAATATTCATGATCTTCATAGATTCGTTCTGAAATATTATCAATGAATGGAATCAATAACTTTGAAATAATCATAATATCAGGAAGGAATATAGTAAAAAAATAAACAAACCATTACTTTGTTTACTTTTCACATACATTTTCTAAAAGTACTAAAATAATCAAATAAATAAATGATTTTTTGCAATAATTTAATTTATAATCATATTAACGCAAAGTTATATCTCATTACATTTAACGTTTACTGATCTGCTATTGAGTAATATTTCAATTAATACATATTTACACTTGTTTATAAGATGATTCATTTCTAACATTGAAATGTATAATATCTATTAATTTAAAAAAGTAAACTTCACCCAACGCTCATTATAAAATGAAATTGAAAATAAATTTTCATTCAATTTGCTCCATGTTAATTGATAAGCAGTGAAAATATCAGATAATAAATGAAATCAATAAATAAACATATATTTAAGAGGAAGAAGGAAATGATAAGAAAAATTACTGATATAAAGATCGGGATATTCCTCCACAATAGCGTGATGTTCACTCAACGGGACATTTAATTTTGTGGCAATTCGACGGATACATTCAGCAACCGTCCATCTTTCATCGATAAGCAAAGAAATGGTGGACGAGCCATCGTCAATGAAAAATTTCACGTAAATTTTTTTAATATCTGCTTCACGCATTTTTTCCAGCGCTTCTCGAATCTTTGCTGCTTTTATCTCATTAGCAGTAAGTGGCCGAGCAGGTTGTTGTTGTTGCTGTTGTTGTTGCTGTTGTTGTTGTTG